ATCTTTATCTATCTTCTATTCATTCTCAACGGTTTACACTGTTCATGCAAGAGACCGTGATGATATCATGTAAGGCTTCATTATGTCAGTAGTGGGACCGCATATGTAACACCAAGCGTTCTCCATACAGCACATTCCATTCTTAGTTCCTGCCAATTACAATTAGGCTTATATATTTATCTTGCAATGCTTACGGATGTCGTCTTCCCATCTCGTTTTAGGTTTTCCATCACCGAAACGTCGGCCAGTGGGTGGAATCCAACGTGTAAGCATGTCTGTCCATTTTTCATCGCCTTCTTTCCCAAGTATTTTTCCAGCAAATCGCCATTTTCTTCGACGAGCTATTACGACTACATCTTTCAGTTTCGTGATAGAACGTATCCAATTCGAAGATTTTTGGTCTCTTAAGCGAAATCCTAACATTGATCGTTCCATCGCTCTTTGGCATCGAAGAAGTTTCAGCAGCGAGTTCTTAATCACCGCCCAAGTTTCACAACCGTGTAAAAGTGTTGGAAGTATCACGTTATTGAAGTAACGGCGTTTGAGATGAACAGCAACATTTCGACTGCCGAGAAATTGTCGTACTTTTCCAAATGCATTCCACGCTGCACTTATGCGTCTGGAAATTTCTTTATCATGATTGCGTGGGCACTGAATTAGCTGTCTAAGATATAAAGCAATCTACGCGTTCAATGACATTGAAGTTCAGTGTGATTATCGAGCTTGTCCAAGTGTTGTCTCTGTCTTCGCCCACCATTTAGTTTTGTGGCCATTGATATGAAGTCCAATTTGAAAACATGCACGAAGAAGCTTTACAGCCATTGATTCTAAATGACTTGGACTAAGACCTATGAGTGCAACGTCATTCGCAAAGGCAAGGTAACGTAAATGTTTTCCACCAATGTCATATCCTTCTCCTTCTTCCCACTGTATGGATTGGATCGCGTACTGCAGACATGTGATGAAAATAAGCGGAGACAATGCATCGCCCTGACGGACTCCTCTATGTATTTTGAAAGAAGTATTGAGATTGTTGAGTTAAAGTGAGGCTGTTGCGGTTCGATATAATAGTTGTATCATCAAAATCGTGTCATTATCTACTCCAAAGTATGCAAGAGCTTCCCAGATTGCGTTGAAATTGATAGATCGAAAGCTTTTTCAAAGTCGAGGAAAAGAAGCGCAATTGGTAGATGGTATTCATGGGTCTTCTCAATAAGTTGGTTGATGGTTTGCAAGTGGTCGGTAGTTGAAAACGTCCGTCGAAAACCGGCTTGCTCAATAGAAAGACGTTTATCTAAAAAAAAAGATAGAAATTTAATGCTTTGAAGGTAAGTTAATGGGATGTGGCACAACTCCTAAAAAGGTGTGGCGGACATAGATTTTAAGGGGTTGTGCCACACCCTACTAACTTGCCTCCGAAAAGAAACTTAGCGAACATGTAGTTTGACAGTTTGAATCATGTAGTTTTTATGTGAGTAATTTGCGCCTGATTCATCTTCTTCGCTCTGAGCAAAAACTTGTGAAAGCGCAGCCATTGAAAGCGAAAAAAGAAACAAACGAGATTTTGGCTAGCTTCTAACTCAATAATTTGACGTTTACTTGGAGCAGATTTCATAGTGTAAATAGAGAGTAGTGCTTTGTAATGAGTACAAAAAGAGTTAGCTAATTCAGTTTTGAATTATAGTTAACTGATCGGCGGTCCCGGTTTCACTCGAAACTCCAGTTTAGCTAGGAAGAAATTTCTTATAATTACGCTTTTGAGCTTCTTCTGCGCAAAAAGGGCTTTTAAACGAATAGCCGCATTTCCCGACATTGAGATTAGAATGAGCTTTACCACCCCCTGACTATATGATCACGACAAAATGATTTGTTGGAGCATGTCAAGCCTCATTTTCCCAGATGTAAGTAATCAAATCAACAAATCAGTAAAAGGGTCCAGTAAACCGCCGCGAAAAGCAGCCTAGGTTCTGCGCCGGGGTCGAAAACATTAGTGTGCAAAGTCTCAGCTCATTCCGTCTACTCAGAGATTGTTATAAAAACATACTTATTAACAGACAAACAACCTTAAGTTTTATATGTATACTAGCTGGCTTACCCGGCTCCGCCGTATGTTCCGAATAGAAAATTCCATTTCTTAACCGATCCGGACCAAACTTGGCACACATACCCTTCGGGCCCCGGCGGGTGTCACAGTCCACTTTTCGTTATCGATCGATGTCGATTTTATCGATTTTTTGCAAAATTTGAGATACGGGGCTGGGAGTTGGCAGAGGGGTGTAATCGAGCATGCTGATTACGAATACAATATTAGTTTTCGAAACTTTGCATTACTTTTATCGATTTTATCGATTTTTTGCAAAATTTGAGCTAGGGGGCTGGAATTTGTAATCGAGCATGCTGATCACCCCCACGGGGGTGATCAGCATGCTCGATTACCCCCCTGTGCCAAATCCCAGCCCCGTAGCTCAAACTTTGCAAAAAAATCGATAAAATCGATAAAAGTAATGCACGATTTTAAAAACTAATATTGTATTCGGAATCCCCATGCTCACTTACCCCCCTGTGCCAACTCCCCCGTAGCTCAAATTTTGCAAAAAATCGATAAAATCGATATCGATCGATACGAAAAGTAGCCTATGACACCCGCCGGGGCCCGAAGTGTATGTGTGCCAAGTTTGGCCCCGATCGGTTCAGAAATGGAATTTTCTATTCGGAACATACGTATAGACAGACAGACGAGACCGAGACCAATGGCGAGACCTTCGAAGAAATGATTTCTTAAAGCTAAAAGATTTGGAGAATCTAAAAATACTACCATTTCCTTCCCGAAAAATTGTGAAATTTTCAAAAATTAGCCTAGCTTTGGGCAGACAAAATTGACGGGTGAAGGATTTTGGCAGTTATGAAAAAAGCCTACAGGATTGTGCTGCAAAAGCTGCTGGATGCTCATTTAGGTTTTTATTGTGCGTGGCTTTATAGTGTCTGAAAAAACCGGTAAAACTTTTGGGACAGCTTGATATATAGATCATGGTTAAGAATGACACTTCATTTGAATAGTCCAACATCGAGAAACTTCAGAATTTGCTAAAACTTGACTCAAAGTGATTATTTGACATGATAATAATTACTAATGCATGCCTAATTATGCATGGTAGAGCCTTTATGTCATGTCTACGGAAGGCGAGATAATGCTGGTGGGGTGGGGGTGGGCGAGAGGAGGGAGTGGAAGGGGTATTGAGACAGAAGATAGGGGAGGGGGAGGGGGATTGTATCCAGCTTGTGTGCCACACCTCTTGCTCGATACTGGTTGTAACACAAGTCTTGAGCCACTATAAGGCCCGTATGCACGTACATCCCCGCGGGGAGGGGATGTGCGCTTAACCATTGAAATGATCCCCGCTGGGGATCCCCTCCCCTCCCCGCGCGAACCCTCGTATGCACAAAAACAATATCGTACAAGGGATCCCCTGTGGGGAGGGGAAGTGAACCCTCTTATGCACAAGAGGGGATCAAGCGGGGAAATCACCTTGCTTTCAAATTTTCTATGAAAAACTCTTTCTTATTTCATATTTTGACTGCAACTCATCTTCATCTCCTCACTTCAATTAATTTAGGGTTGCGGAATGTGCGTATGCAGTGATTGCGCTCGGGGCGCTAAAAATGATTTTTTCTACTCCCATTATGTTCCTGCTTTCTTGGATGCTGCCCACTTTCGTTCATGCTGCTCCATCTCAGCGTCAAAATGTTGGACTATAGAAGTTGATGTGTCTCTGCAAGGGAATGGGTAGAAGACGCTATGCTGCCGAAAAGGGGGGGGGGTGCCGCGCGGACGCTCAAAGCAGTATTCTAACACATAACAGAAGCTGCAAATTGTGCCAGCTCTCCATAAACGCTGTAACTATCAGCTGCATATCGTCGTTTATCCCAGGGGAATGATCCCCAGCAGCCATCCCTGCTATGCACAAGGGGAACGCTGGGGAGGGGATCACTCCCCAGGGGATTTCTACTCAGAAATAGGCAAATATGCTACTTTCTAGATTTTTTCGAGGCAGCTTATGTTTAAAAAACAAGATAATGGCAACATGTCATGAAATATGAAAGTTACAGTGTGTTTATTTAGCCTATATAGTTTAAACTATTATGTTATATGAAAAATGCGCAGATTTCCTGAATGATCAAGAACTCCTACAAATAATAGAAATTGGCAGCTATTGTTGCTCGGATTTCTTCTCAAGAGGCGAATATAGAAAAGAAAGACAAATTGCAAGCTACAGGTCGCTGAGAGAAGAACCCGGCTTTCAAAGAAAATCCTCCATCAAAATGAACGAAATGCTTGGTAATGACTGAGCAGAACCAGAATATCCGCGTCTCTGGCATGATCTACACCATCGAACCCCTACTTCGTTGCAGGGGATGTCGATCCCCTCCCCCGCGTTATTGAGTTGAATTCGCGCATACGGGGTTCGAGTGGGGCAAGGGAAGGGATCCCCTCCCCCATTCGAACCCCGTATGCACTGGGGTTCGCTCGATCAATACCTCTGAAATCATTCACACCATCCCCGCTTAGGTGCAGGGGAGGGGATCGCTCCCCTCCCCTCTGTCATGGCGGGGTTCGGCGGAGGGGATCGTTCCCCTGGGGATCCAGCTCCCCTCCCCTCCCCAGCGGGGACGTACGTGCATACGGGCCTAAGTTACTAAGGCGATAAGTCGTAAACTTCATACTCTAGATAGGGTTACAGGCAGGGTAAAGCGGGGGGTGTGGCACACGACCATCGGATACGACCCCCCCCCCCTTGGGCCAGATCCCGGCACGACCCTCCCCCCCCCCCCCCTTCACCCCTGCCCGAACTCTTTCAAGTAAAGGTTTACTTCAACTTTATTCCAAAAGCGCTCCGCAGTCGGTCTCTCGCTATCACACGAAAGCGCAGGTGCGAAGAAACGCGCGAAGCAACGCGTTCTGGTGCAGTGAGCTACGATATCATAACTCAAAGTCACGAAAGCAGACGCAACTCTTCATCATCAAACACAAAGGCACTCAAATTAGCATTTTAAGCGACTTGTAGAACAAAAAAAACGACCAAAAGTAAACAGCCTCATTTTTCTCTATCGGTACTTCAAAGTGATCTACATGATTCTTTTCGTTATCGCCGATGTGCTGTTCACCATTTACCATTGCCATGTCGAAGTCTGTAACTATATGTTCACAATTTGCCATACAGTAGAACTGGCTACATTTGGAATGGATAAAAATAAGAGAATAAGTCAAGAACGTGAGAGAGCGTTAAACTTTTTAATGGCTTGCGGAATTGCATCGTCCTATAGAAAGCTATCTGCTCCAGGATATCAAGCGAAGGGAACGGCTATAGGTTGCCGGCAACTGTTCCGAGACTGCAGATGTTGGCGGGGTTGCCGAGGTTGCCGGGGTCAGAGACAGCCTAGAGCGTGAGAAATGTGAGGCTATCATGAGGTTCTACGACGACCGGCAACGCCGGCAACCCAACGCCGGCAACCTCGGCAACCACGGCAACCTTGGACACAATTGCCGGCAACCTATGGTCGTTCCCAAACAGACCTTCCCCGAGACCATTCGAAATAAAAGTTAGAAGAAAAAGTAATTACAAAAGGAACTCGAAAACTAAGTAAAACATGGTAAAATGTCCAAGGTGGCAAAGCCATTAGCTTCGAATCTGTGAATTCAAAACAGAAGCTCACTTGCTTGAAAAAACAGCAACACGACTTGCCACAAGTATTCCAGGCGCTCATGATAATCCGGCGGCTGTCTGGATTCGTATGAATTTCGTAGATGACGTCCGCTAATTCAACACCTGGCCCTCATAGTCCGCGTCTGGGCCTTTGTACTCGGCGCCAGAATGTCGTCACTAAATGGAAATCGTTCAACGCTGCCGTATTGAAGCGAAAGTTGTAAAAAAGATACCTGGAAACCGTAAACTGGACCAAGATCGCCTTGTGCTCTGCCTGTGAATCCACCCGCGATCCTTTTGCATCCCATATCTAGGTTGAAAGATTACCACTATAGTGAGCAGAATGTCTCTTTTGGTATTAAGGCACTGTCAGACCTCGTTTGAAAGCGCCCAAAAGAGCTCAATTTTTCTGATCTCTCTTCACATATTTCCACCTTTCCTCGCTCCGCGCTAACCTGGCGCTTTTAGTCTAGCGCAAAAGTGTGAAGAGAAAAGATGAAAGGAGTAATCAAGGATTTGGGTGCTTTTGGGCGCTTTGGATGAAGGTCTAACAGGTGCCATGGGCAGAGTTCACGCAATTTCATCGAATCGCAGTTTTCCCTACAAGCCAACAGTCACGAGTCGACAGTCGATCAACATGCAATGGACTCGTACTGTTGTTTCATCGGGGAAACGCGAAGAGATGAAGTCTTCTGAACTCTGTCCAAGGCTTAAAGCACTCTTCATGAAAGCGATAAGAAACGAGATGAGACAGAATAAGCTCAAAAATGTGGTAATATGGTGCATTTGCAGACGATGCATTTTCTGATCGGAAAATACCAACATCGCATAAGGTTAACGTAAAAATTGATAACAATCGCTGAAAGATGATATTAATAAGAGAAAAAGGATTGATTATATGGAAGCATTGAAACGCAAACCTTCGTTCTTCTCAAAAAGACGATTGCTGTTTGTATTTCCTTTTATGTACCAAACAACTCTTCAAAAAATCCTTTCCAATACACATGTTTTGTGGTTAGTAATGGAACAACACCTGTAACACTGCATAACAAATAGGGCTGAAGTTTTCTGAAAGAACAATGAGAGAAACAAGTGATGAAAAAGAACAAAAAAGCGAGAACATCACAGCTCATAACGAGAGTGGGATTCAAAGGCGCGTATCTCGCGCCTCTGTGTGTTTTGACAATCTTTCGAGCGCTACCGTAACCCAATATTTTTTGGCCACACTTCCCAGCATATGGTTCGCAAAAACCATATGTATTTCTTTCTAAAGAGAAAGGTTCGAGGGGAAACAGCTACTACGGAGAGAGGAAGGATGAATCTATTCGACGCCTCAATGAGCACCAATCATCGATAGTAAATTTTTCTGGCTTCGAATGGTTTCAAGTAATACGCAAGCGACAGCAATCACATAACAAGAGTTGTGACACTGAAAATGTGCTAGAATAAGCACCGAGGCGTCTATTCATTTTACTCTCACTGTCTCAACGCTGTCTTTCTTTTTTTTTCTAAGTGAGAAGCAAAGCTTAGCTAGGCATAAAATTGACCATCTCAAACTTTGAAAACGCCAAATTCTGAACTATACGATTGTTTAGGCGAGAAGACAGTTTGCTGGATCATCTTGATAGTGGGAGAATATTCGCTGTGGTCAAATCGTATGTTCCAAGAATCACTAAAGTTTCGCGCGTCAAAAGGTTCAGATCTAACTTTTTGGAAAATCGATTCCAAGCGAGAGATAGGGGACCTCAAGTTTCAATGACATAAGGTAGCCCATAATAACCATTCAGAAATTACGCAAACGCAAAATTTCGCGATTTGTGGGTTTGAACCGCTGTCCTTTTTTAAAAAGAATGAATGAAAGGCTAGTCGTAGCATACAACTATCATTTCGGGGGAAAATCTTTACCAGAAAAGCTCAAGTATGACAAGGACTATCGCAAAGAACATAAACACCCTTTTTTGGCTGGGAAAGTTTGCGTGTAGCTAGGTAATGAGATTAAGTCCTTCTCAGAAGTTGTCAAACATCCACATGCTAATTCCAAAAAAGACAAGTAAGAAGGAATTGGGATCTGATGGTACTCATACCTACCTACTGCTCAACAGCAGAGGAACATATACTCTTTTTTGCGGCGCAGCTTTGTTCTTAGGGTGAGGAGGTCAAGAAGTAGACTACACTCTAGGATCTGGGATTAGAATCAGACTGCAAAGAGCAATGCATATGTTTCTGATAGAATCAAAGTCAGACCAGTTTTGATGGAAATTGGAGGACAGAGATATTTGGCAAGGGTAATATTCCACAAGACGGATCACTCGCAGATTACAAGAATAAAAATCGTGTACGGCGGAGGAGGGAGAGAGTTAGTAAATCACAAACCTCACCATGCATTTTAGATACTGGCAAAATCATATGTACTTACAAGCAATACCATTGCTTTACATGCTTCTAATTTTGCTCTATGACATTGGAATCTTCACTCATCAACATGTTAGACTGTATCAATAAACTACACTAATTCAAGACTAAAACTTCGAAAAAAAAATAAAGAAGTTCCCAAAAAACTTTTGAACATGGGTAGCGCTAGCATCACCCAAAGTATTGCCAGGCAGGCGCTGCGAGAAATTCTTCGTTCAAAAAACCTTACACCCTTTGATTCAACTGGCGGCTGGAAGGCGATGCTCTGTCACCTAATTGAGGCCAGATTATGATTAAAGAGCACTCGCGCGAGAGAGACGCAGACTGCGTCGCGGGCGAGAGCGGTCTTAACTGGGTCACAACACCCCGCCTTCCAGCCGCCAAGCCAGTTGAGTCGGCGCTATTCGCCTATCCGGGCCCCAAATTTTTTTGGCCATGGATTTCGTAAAAAGGGCTTATCTGACATGCTGATTACGAATACACGTTTTTTTTGCGCGAAGACGCCTCCGTATGCGGCTACGGTGGGTATACGGGGGAGTCAAAATCATGGATTTCGCTGAAAATTGGCTTAGGGGTCTATTCGACATGCTAATCACAAAAATCATACTCTTTCCGCATGATGAAGCCTTTTCATGAATATACTGTAATTCTATGGTAGGGGTCAAGAATGACAAATTTGCCTGAAACTTTGCGTTTAGTGTTGGATGTAGACCGGCTTGCCCTACCGTCACGCCTAACATACAGGACCATTGCCACGCGCGACGCATTTCGCGACGGCTTTGCCTAAGCAAACACACTCAGACATTCGCGGTTGACGACCGCCGGAGATCCGCCCATTTTCGGTTTGCTTCGGGACAAAGTTGTGTCCTGCCGTTGTCCCGACTACACCGGCAATTACGTCGGGATTGTTCCGACGCGTATCAATACAATCGATCGGCCTTGTGAGTCGTTCGGGTTCAACCGGACGTGCTTGACAAGTGCCGACAGGTATCGGAGGGAGCCATAATTTGCGATCAAGCTCATTTTCATTTTTGCATGCAGTAACGATAGCCGGTTCCTCCGTATTACGTATATCCTATATTTACTACCTGTATTACGTCGTTTTTTGGTTTTTGTTTCCAGTATTCCTAACGCAATTCACTACGTCTCATTCATCTCAACAGAATATCGTTTTCAGTTAGGACCTGTGTATGATCAAAGAAGAAGTTGCTTGTCTTCTGCTGAACTTAATGAAAGTATTGCGACTGCATATTGCAATTCTCAGGCTTCATTTAGGGTATGTTTGGACGATTTTTTTACATTTTATTGAAGTATTCAATTAATTCCGCTTCGAACGAGCAGTGCATTTTGCTCAGAATTGCTACCGCTCTAAACGTACTCTTTTGCTCTAATCTTTAAGCAAGATCACTTTTGGATGCAGAACTTCCGTTATAAGTTGAATGGAAGAAACTGCGCTGCAAACGCTTCATTTTTTAATTTGTTTTTATTTTTTCGTCAAAAATTTCCTTTAAGAAAATAGTCTTAAAAATCTATGAGTCAACTTTAGTTTTGTTTTACAACTGTTTTTTCACACTCTTAGCTCTATTCCACTTCATACGACTTTGAGATCCATTTTTGTTTTCTTATGACTTTGCTCGCATAGCTATATACAGTCTGAGTCAACCAATCGCCTCCGCCGTAAGAACTACGCATCCGCAGCGCTACTGCTTTGGGTCCCACCTCCGATCAGTGAGTCAAATCTTGAATAGTCGAAGCACAAGCTCTTAAACGCTGCGCGGAGAGCTGGTGTTGCGGTTGAGCTGGGAAAAAAAAGAGTATAAAATTGGCAGGGACTGTAGTTAGTTTACAGGTTAGTCACAAAATGTTACATTTTGCCTCCTACCCCCTTTTCAGAGATTACGGTGAATGCACGAATTTCATTTTGCATTCTGCACACACACGAGAATCACAAAAGATTCACTGTGTATTCAAAGTAGGATTCTGACCATACACTTAGGCAAACGCCATACTTGATCCGCCCGATCCACTTGATCGGCTTCATCCACTTCGTTATTGGTCAAATCAGCAAACTGACCAATGGCAAAGTGGATTAACTAGGTCAAGTGGATTAAGCTGATCAAGTATTACGCGTGCCTTACCGTAAAATCCAAGACTACATCTGAAACTGTTATAAGTTTGTTAAGCATGTTCTTTCTGTGCAAAGTTACTGCGTTGTGACAGTTTGGGCTTGTAACGGTCATAACGAAAACTTGTAACATCAAATCACAGCCACCCTTCAAGGTAACGCAATGTAGCAGGCTTGGGTTTGGGCCAAGATCAGCCCATTTCAGGAAATAAACCTGATTTCGATTTTTGAGTCTTAAAAACGTTCAGTGCGCTCGCACAAGCACGACCACTACCTGCATGTACTGGATTTCTACCGTCACTTTTTTCTCAACGTAAGCACTACTTAGTGCAGCCAAGTTCGAGAGCTACATGTATATAGGCATGTGATCCCAGCCACGTCATTCAACAATACGCATGTCGACAATCCCACAAAAGTGGCAAGGATAAAAGCCTGAAAGACCTTCTCGAATCATTGGTCACTTTCCTCATAGGCAAGTTTCCTTGAGATCACTTGAAGGAGTTGACTTCTAATTTCAGATTTCGCCCTTAATGGTGGGATTGTTCGGCGATGAACTCCTTTTACCACCTGCACACTGCGCTAGAGTTCACGGAAGGTAGTTTTCACCACGTAAATGACAGAAGATATCTATTGCCGTTTCAGGTACTGGGCTGATTTGGGCGAGACCGAGTCTCAAAGAAGAAAAAGTTTCTATGCGCTATCAGAAGCGCAAACAAACTGGAGTACGCATGCACGCGCGGCCATCTGCAGAGCATTGTAAGTTTTTCATGCTTTATCTCATTCTGTTCTCGCCCAGGTGAGTGTAAAAAAACTCCTGTGGAGAGTGTTAACGTCCGCGTTTATTTTCAGAGCCGACATTCGCCAATATGAATTCGATGCAACACGTCTGACGCTCATGCCGCCCGAGGTAAGTTTCTCTATTCAGAGCTGTGATGTCATTCGTTCTTTTTCAATTTCAAAAAAAAAGAGTAATAACGAAGCAAGAAGGGACGACAATCGAGAAAACGGAAGTCTGAGATTCGCCTGAGGAAGATTGATTCCTTTTTTAAGATTGATTCCTTTTTGCTCACAGATGTATGATTTTCTTGTTGCGATTCTGTTCTTGAGAGTAGATTTTTCTCTTTTTGCTCAGGAATGTATAATTTTGCTGCTGCGATTTTGTTGTTACGAGTTTTCTTATCATTTGTTATGGTTTTGTCGTTAAGTTAACCTGAGATGAATAAATCTCTGTCGATTCAATCTCTGTTGTTTACATAGTATACAATGTATGCCGGAAATTTGAACAATATCAAATGCGCTCTACGGCTATTTCCATGCCCCATGGTCGGTTCGGGATTCCTGCATTTCACCGGCGTTTCACCTGCGTTCGACCCGAATTTGTGCTGCAGACAAATCCCGAACCAAACGCAGGTGAAACCTGCTCGACCGGCGTTTCTCCGGCAGTCTTGTCCCGAACCAATAGCCGGATTGTCCCGAAACAAACGGAGGTGTTCCGCATGTTTTCAATGAGTCGAACTCCGTTTCACCGGCGGTCGTCAACCGCGAATATCTGAGCAGTGGAAGAAGATTTACCGCGCACCGTACGCCCTACCGTATACCTACCATATCCACATAGAAAAACGTCTTCGTGAGGTAAAAAGAGATCGTGATTAACATGTCAAATTATCCCCTATTCTGCCAAGTTTCAGGCAAATCCACGATTTTGACCCCTCCCGTATACCCACCATAACCCCAGAAGATGGCGCAACCATACCGAACCACTACGATATTCGGCATCAGCGGATCGAATAACCCCCTACACCGATTTTGAGCGAATTCCACGATTTTCGCCCCCTACCGTATACCCACCGTAACCCCAGAAAATGACGCTACAGCGCAAATCCTCTCTTCTCCTTTAGGTATTTGAAGATAATGCTGGCAGATTACAGATTAATTTCTTTTTGTCTTAGAAAAGCTTGAAGCCATCAAAATTCCCTTTAGGGGCTTTTTTTTGGCGGACCGTACAAATATGCACCGCCACTAGCCTTGTCGACAACAAATATGAACACGTCGAAAAGTTTGCGTTCTATGGCGCTTGTCATGTAAAAATGGTACTGGGCTGAGGAGATCTCTCAGGCAAGCGGGCTGCACATCGGCGTAGGCGTCCTGCACACACTGCTCGACATCCTTGCAAGCCGACTTTTTTCCGGCAGCATTTGGAGACCGGGCTTGCGCAGTATGTAGATCTAAATTCACGTCCTAGTACTTACTTACTTCTGTTTACTCGTTCATAATAGCCAAGAAAGCTATTATCTGCTGATGCTCCTCTAATTTCCCTGTGATGTTCCATTTCCACTGAAGTTGGAAGTTCATTGGTGGAGGGGTTTCCGGTGGTGGTAGTAAAATAGGTCTTCGATTCTGAACCCTACAGTTTTCTTCCGAATCATTATTTCCCGCAAAGTTGCTAAGTCGCAGAGATAGCGAGAAACAAATTCGGGATAAATGGCGGTTGTTTTGCAGTACATAGTTTATTTTGGGTGCTCAATTAGACTTTGAAGTTTGCATTTTGAACATAGGACAATCCATCGTTGAAAAATCAAAATTTTGAAACATAGAAAAATAGCCTTCATGCAAAGTTGTTACTAAAATGGATATTGTCGCTAGAAAGTTGGAATGTAAAGACGTAATGGGATATTTGTATATTGAATTCAAAGCATCAAAGGTAGTGTCTCGGCAGAATCTCGTTTTCCAGTTTTTCACCTTTTCGGAGCCTTTTCGCCATGAAGAGTCCATAACTGGGGTTTTCAGCGTATGAAAATGGTGGAGCTTTTTCCGAACCTTTTCAAATCCGCATTAGTGGAGAACACTC